CAGCTTTTTGTATATGTAGTTTGGTAAAGAACTAAGAAAGGAAGGTGTGTTTTGTCATTAAAGCCTCATTCTGATAGTCCTAAAGGACAGTCTTTCTGTTAAATTTAATGAAAACTTGATCATCATGCCTGCTGTGCATGAATACTCTGGGCAATCCAATATTAGCAAGACATGAATAATTCACAATTAAAGCTAAGAACCTAAAATTACTAAATATATTTACTAAATATTTACTAAGTATACAAGCTTGCCATATTCTGGGTGGGTACCCAAGAGCAGGAATCATTGAGCATTGGTTGGGCTGGATGGGCTTCACCTTCTCTGCAGCTAAAAAAGTTATTTGATTTCAAATCTTGCTAGTTGTTTATTGAATATGGAGGTTAGTTCATCATATACTCTGTTTATGCTTTTATTTCTCAGTCCAAACTATACTTGAAATATGTTTCTTCCTTTTTGAGATTGTTTGAGAGATTGTTTCCTCCTCAAGAGTTGCTTAAAGTCTTAGAAAGTCAAGGAAGTGCTTTCCTTGAATAATTCTAAACCTCCTTTTTACAAGTGAAATAGGGTGCAAGTGAAATCCTGAATGAATTGTATGGTAGACATCTACTCACTTCTGAATAGATACTCAGGAATTAATACTGCTAACTTCTCAGATTTACATTCTCAGTTTTACTTAGAATGAATAGGATCTTTAAAAAGATTTCTTCTGTTTACTAACTTTTTTCTGTCGCCTTCTGTTTCAGATTAATGAAACTGTTGCCATGTCCCATTTACAGCAGAATAATATTTTAATAAATCTGACATTCTAAGTGGTTTTCAAAAGTTATGAAGAACAATACTTGTTTCATACTTGAGAAACAATCATCCACTGCTTTCCTATGAATCCTCATACTATGGTTAACTTTAGATCATCCACAACCCTTTTTTCCCCCTTTTTGTTTCTGTTTTCTCAGTGCTGACACAACTAATTATTTTATTACCTTAAAATATCCAGAGTTCTGGAGTAACATCAGAACATGCTTCATGCCAAATGTTTTCAAGACTAAACCAATTTTTACTCACTACATAGGAAGACAGATGTATCTGATAAATTCTGGTTCTAGGGAGATGAAGGGTAGCTTTCCCTTAAAATAGATGAGTAACTCTGGAGGATTTTCAGAATCAAAAGTAAGCTTGCTAAGCTTGACCACATTTAGGTAACTGAGATCAGCTCAGGTACCAAATTGTGGACAAAAGTTTGGCTGATGTAGAGACAAAAGCAAGCTCAGTATTTGTCTGATACATGAAAATTTCACTCATTTCACCTTCATGCTTTGCCATTGTGGCCTCTGTAGACCCAACCCACTAAGGCCACTAAGTACTATGTGTAAGTCCATCACAAGTGTATGGGGACTGTGGTCCCTCTGTAGCAGCAGAGAGGCCTTTGAAAAAAGGAAACCTTTAAAAAACCTGCATGTTGTTTGGCCAAAATGAAAGATCTAAGATGCTGTGAATTCAGATGCAAAAAGACATTCCCTGGTTTCACTTCTAGCTGGCCTTTGTCTATTCCCACATTAGAAAACTGCTTCATTTTTAAAAACTAAAACCTTTTTGGAAGCACTGTAAGGTTACTGAGCCAAAGAGCAGGAAATGCAGCTGTTAGACCCCACGTGTGGTTATGTGCCCCATACACGAGACTGACAGGAGCTGTGACAGCGTTCACCCCTCAGGAAGGAATAAACCCCTGCTTTGAGCCTGACTGTAGAGCCTTGGCATTAAAGCATGTGAATTCACAAATGCTGGTGAATGCACACATACCTCTAGAATTTGTACAGCTTTCAGACTGGCACTAAGAGAAACAAACATTTTTAGAACTCATTACAAGGAGAAAAATGTCTTATTACCATAGGAACCCTCTCACAATGACATGAGACAAAACTAATGAATGTTCACCTTTCTGGTTGTTGATTCTCATTCAGCTCTAACTACATTGCATCCAGTTTTCTGGCATATTATGAATTGAGGTGTTCAGCAAAACTAATTTTTAGTTATCTTTTCTTTTCTCTGGTCATGGTCAAGTCTCCTGCTAGAAAAACATATCTATTTGTAATCCATTTTGTCCTGTCCATACCTATACAGAAAGCTCCTGCCCCACATAAAAAGAGATATTTTTCCCCTTATTCTTCTGCTTTTAGGAAGGTATGGCTTACAGCTCTGTGGACTAGGCAAGACCCATGCACCCTTCTGTATGCTCTGAGGGCAGCTGTCTCCCTGTTTGCAGGAAACTGAAAGCCACAGAATAATCTGGAATCCCTTTTCCAACACAGGACCAGAAATAGGAGGGCTATTTCTGCTCTTCTGCAGCTATACAGACGTGATTTCTCACCTGAATTGCACTCAGCTGTGCCTCCTTCTAATCTTTGCACCATGGACTTCAAGATCTTTTTTTTTCATTAAAAAATTGTGGATTTCATCTTTGAAATTTTTCTCATGGAAAAATGGAGGCTTTAAAAGCATCTGCTGTGGGAATTCTACATCTAGTGTAAAATAATATTGCACACAGAGCAGGAACATTACCACAATAAAATAGAAAAGCACATTGTAAAATTAATTCAAGCTAGTGAAATTGTTATGTCCTTCCATATAACTGAAGGCAAATTTCTTAATAAATCATGAATAACTGTAATTCCTGAAAGGAATATATTTTGTTTTTCTTGAATGGAGGTCAGCATTTACCTGGACACCTCTGCAAACAGTGCTTTTCTCTCCACAGCGTGGCTCCTTGCTCTGATTTGACTTTTCTTTCTAAATTAATTTCTTTGAAGTTTAAATAGTAAAAAATGCAGTGATTGATTTCATTCATAGAGCAATCACTTTCAAAAAAACCCTCTACTTTAGACATAAAACTGAATCAATTTTAGCTAGAATAGTTATCTGCTAAAGTAAGTCTGAATAAATTCAGCCTAAGAAAGGCTTAGGTAAAGGTTAAACCCTGACTTTGGCACAAACTTTTATGGGAAATTGGGGCTGCTGTGGGTTGCAGATTTTGACTTGATATAGGGCTGCAAATACCTGCTGACAGCACAGAGACCTCTTTCTGCTAAAAAGTCATGAATTGTCACAGTAAAAGTCTGGCTTTTAGAATAAGCCAAAGCCTAATGGTTAAACTGTTATTATTCAGCTGTATGTTACCCTGACAGCTTTATGTATTAGTGAAAAAAAAAGGGAAGCCAGGGCATAAACTTTGGATTGATTTTTTTCTCTGACTGAGGAAAACAGCTTTGCTGGTTGTTTGTTTTTTAATTAAAAACTCTGACTGAAATGAGATTTTTCAAACCCACATAATTTTACTGCAAGTGCTATGTCTCATTTTCCAAAATGATCTGTCCATTTGCTGCATAGTGGTAGGATGTGTGTTCCTGAACACCTGAAGGAATGTTAGCTCAGGTTGCTTTTACCCAAAAGAAATAGGGACAGTCAGTGTCAAAGTCAGTAATGTTATTAAAATATAGACAAAATATATTTTAAACAATGTATAAAGGAACAATAATATTTTCTGTATTTTTTCCTCTCTGAATAAGCCATACTCTTGGTCCTAAATGCCTCTGACTTAGCCAGCAGAAGTTTTTATAGACAGTGAGTTGAATCTCAGAGTCCAGAGGCTTGAGCACACCGGTGGAGTGACATTTCAAGTAACAGGGGAAGCAGCTGCCTTCTTGCCAATAGAGAAGATGAAGTCGATTTTTCTCTTTTAACACAGATTTCCTTTTAAAACTGATTAGCATGCAATCTGGGGACGTGGCGTTTGGATGCATCTTTCAGTGCACTGAGGAATAAAACCATACTCTAATATTTCAAATTATTTGAAATAATTAATATTTGGCAAAGTTGTAAGTGCAACTGGAAAAGCAAGATATTTTTGTGTGGCATCAGGAGTCTTGTACGTGATGATGTGCAACACGGCTAGTCCGAGGCAAGGTGCTGCTGTTTGGCGAGCACATGCTCTGGTTTCTGCTCTGCTGCTGGCTGCACTTGCTTGATTTTTTTCTCTTTTCCTTCCCATTCCCCATATCTTTAACTCTTGTAATTATGATGGAATTGAATGAGATATGTTTTCAACCAAACAAAGGTTTGGAAGTGTCAGAGTTCATGCCTGCACGTAGAGCATGCTATGACCACGTGAACAGTCTTTCTTCAAATTTTGAATCACCTCTGCTGGACTTAATCTCTTATTTGGGCTGGAGGACACCTCAGATGTGCAGGATCCTGCCACTTTGTCACGCCCCCAGTGCTCCACATCTGTGTCCATCTGCACACAGCCATGCTGCTGCTAGCTCTCCTGTCCTACAGCAGCTGCCTGAGGCCAGTACCACAGGGCAGCTGCTGGGTACCAACAGGAAAGGATTTTGTAAGTTTGCAATTATTTAATGGAAAAACTGAGGCTTCCCAAAAGGACAAATCCCCAAGTTTTCTTCCAGTGGTGCAAATCAAATTTTGTCAGTCTCCCTGGCAGTATCAGGGACTGGTCTTTCCTTCCCACTATCTTACAAGCAATGAAGGAAATCACCCAAAAGCTGTGCACCCAAGGGCTGTGCAGGGAGGCCATTTTTCATTCCATTACCTCAAAAATGGAAGTTTCTGAGTTTGTGTGCACGTGATTTCAATTTGGTAAAGCTCCCAACTCCCTCCCTCCGTGGCTGAGTTCCACAGCTGCTGGTTCCCCCTTGCCTGGGCTCAGTTCCTTGGCTGCTCTGCCCACTGACCCACACCCCACCAAGGGATTTCTCCTGCTCCACAGGAGTAGGCAATTTGGAGTTTTCAGTGTGTCCTGCCTACAATATACAATAAAGCAGGTGAGAAAGCAAAGCTGTGAAGACAAAAATCCCACCCTGAAAAATCCATCCTGAAAGCATGAGCCATAAATAAAGCACACAGAGAGGAATTTTCTTTCTTCAATTTAATTGAAGTTACTTAGAAAAATAATCAGGCTTGAATGGCTTTTTTAAGGAAAGATTCATGAGCAGTTCACACTTGTGTTGGCAATGTATAATTTATCTTTTTTTCTTTATTAACAGTATATTTAAGTATGAGGAGATACTTTTCTACAACAAGCCTTCTACTGCATACAAATAGGTTAAAAAAAAAAAAATCCAACCCCACATTGATGTTAAATTATTCGTACACATTGTATTGTGCATGCATGTAAGAAAATAACACTCTCTGTAACAAGAGTAATAGTAAGGACAGTCCCTTTTTGTACCTGAAAAGTGCAGCAGACTACAGTGAAACCCAAAAACATCTGGGGTCAACTTACTTCTAAAAGCACTTCTGCTTGTGGGTTATTTATTTCACTTGTCTTTCACAGCGCATGGTTCAGGCAGTTTGCACGTTTCTGTCATAATGGACGTGGTTTATGAAGAGGCTGAAGCACGGATTGAGCCAGGTTTGGGGCACATCCCACCACCCAGGAGTCACCACCAAGTTCACATGGGCCAAATCCAGCCTTGCATTCCAGGTTAAGGTGTTTGGGGCCATTTGGGGGGAATGACCCCTCAGCTGTGGGTATCGTGCCAAGTACAGAGCCACCAGCACTGCTGGGCTCAGCGCTGGCCCTGCCAAATGACAGGGAGGCATCAGACATGAAGGTCACTGCTCCAGCAGATTTGAGGGGGCTGGGGACAGAGGTGGGGAACAGGAATTCCCCCACTGGGTCCTCTGTGCTCATCACTACTCGACATAATTAATGCACACCCTTCTACAACAGCAGCTTCCTGGGTGGCCCTTGCAGCCCCACAGCCACGTCTGTATTTTACACTGTGCCGTGGCTCTGTGTTGCCTGCTTGTCTCCCAGTGTCAGCTGTGGCCACAGCAGAAATGGAGCCAGGAGAGAGGCAAAACTCAAGAGCAGAATGGCCCCTCTTCTCCTCCAGCTGGGAAACCCAGCGAAGAGTTAGAGGGTAAAACCAACCCGGTTCCCTGGCTGCCCCCCACTGCCAGCTCACTGAGATGAGCACGAACAACCCTGAATGTCCTCCTGTGTGGCTGCAGTGGAAAGAGAGATTTTTTTGGCTCAGATGAAACAGTACACCCAATAGACCAAAAGAAATGGCTATTCCTTAACATCTGTCATTCTGCTCTGAGCTGGGCTTGCTGCTCACTGCACAGGACGCGACCAGATCCAGCATGTCAGCCGTTCATTTTAAACACACATCTACAGCCCATTCACGGCACCTCAAACAGATAGAACACATTAAATAGCCAGGTTGTAGTAGTTTGGGATCAAGGATTTTCAAAAGCAAGTGACTTCAAGCACCCACTGAAGTCCACATAAAAGCCTCCTCTGTGCTGAGCGTTCACCTATAGAGCTGCCCTTTGTGGGGAGCCAGAATTTGGGTAATCCAACCCAAAGCTGTTGCTAAAAATCCCAGCTGGAGAAAGCTTTTCTATCACAGCTACCCTATAGAGGTTTTGTGTCTCCAAAGTTGTGAAACTACAAAGAATATTTCAGAATGCATAAAAATGTGGTGATGATGCCAGAGAAAACTACAAAAAGAAAGGGGGAAGCACACCCTGTTCTTTAAATATTTACTTTCTGAAGCAACTTTTGACTTAAATGAAAAAAATCACATCACATTCTGTTGGATGAGTTAACAGCTAACTGAGAAGAAAATTGGACCAAAATATGAGCACTGTGGGATGCAAGACCAAAATACAAGCACACAAATAGCTTGGATTAAGTATTGTGGGGGGGGAAAAGAGGAACCTGCCTCAGACAGTTGTTTTTTTAACAAACCTACAACCATTGAACTGGGAACATAGGAGAGCCAGAGCACACTGTGAGACACTTGTAACAGCTCCACATACTCTAAATGAGACTAAACTGCTTTAAAGTAAAACAACATCCAGCAATCAGCAATGGATCAGGAATTTAGAGGGGTCAGACACATCCAGCCAGGCTCTTGTCAGCCACTGCCCCAGCGCTCCAGATTATAAATAGAGCCTGGGTTATGAAAACTGTGGCTGTTCCAGAATGGATAAGAGATTTATTTGTATGGTATGATAGAAAAATTAATGACCTGAGTCCTGCCTAAGACCAAATCCAATTGCGAAAGGACTTCAGTTGCTGTTTGTTATGTTAATTTGTTTTTCAATGAGATTTGTTCAGCAACTCATTTTTATCAAATAAAATGCAAACTATTTTTCTTCCTTAATCACATCTGTATCCTGGAAACTAATATAATTCAGTGAAAATTACTGGCTACTGTACAATTTGACATTTTTCAGGATCTGGCTCTGATACTGTTAAAACAGCTCTACCTTCAGCTGAGTTTGTTTAAATCATCAGTCTTTTTTGAAAGGATTTGTTTTGATCATAAGATTGACATGCAGGCAAGTTAAACCCCCCATTTTTAACCATGTATCAACTTTAAAACAGATTTTATATTTTCAGAAGTGCCTCAATTTAGCCTACGCCTCCTTTTGCCCATCAGCTGCCTGTGGGCACTGAGGTGGCTACAGAGCATTCCCTCACCTGCATCCAACTGAAGCAAACATCTGGAGAAGCTTGAACTCCTGCTCCCATTAGCTGGCTAACAGATACACACTGAAATCTCATTTTTCATTGTTTATCTGCTCTGTATAGATTACTATTTGCTTACCCAAAACAATCTGCCTTCCCAAAAAGCTGTTAAACACAAAACAACTGCTACTGAGACATTCCCCTTAAGAAAAAAGGTCATGGTCTTACACTAGAGATGACTTAGATAACTCACTGAACTTAGAAAAATTCCTGTCAATTCCTGGCATTTAGGCATGAATGAAAAAAAGAAGGCTTCTTCTCCCTTGGAAAAAGCCATGAAACCAGCATGTAGGAAAACAAGACCTTTTTTATTGCCTTGCATGCTTAGAGAATCAACATGAAGATGTCTTTTTGAATTTTCAAATGACATGCTCAGATTGGTTATAGTAACATAACATGACCAGTGTCTCTCCAGCCAGTTTTGGTTGCCCATCATAGGATCAATTAGGGAGGCACAACTTGAAGAGGATGGAGGTCCCCACAGCTCCATCCTGGATACAAATTAAGTCAATGCAAATTGCTTTAAGCATTCAAAAAATCTCTTACAGCCACTTTCCAAATGCTGATTCTTTTCTGATGGACCATCCTAAATTCATTTGGGCTGGAAGGCTTCAAATGAAGATACAGTGGGAATAGTCATATTCTCCATAAACTCATTAAGACTTAGAAAAAATTCATGGTTTCTCTTCCTAAGCAATACATTCACATTTCTTTCAGTTATGGGTTTTAGAGATCATGAATCTACCCAAATCTGAGTTACTTTTCCTTTTTGGGCCTAGAAAGATAGATTTTGTACTGGTATTGAGTGCCACATCACTTTCTAAAGAACTCACTTTCGCCACTTTCCTCAAAGCGTGTGTTATCCAGAACCATTCCCGTATTTACCTGCATCAATGGCTAATGGAAGAATATTATTACCCAGAACAAGCTCGATCGAGGAAAGCACAAAACCAGACTCCATTTGTCCACGTTACCTTATCTCTGCTGCTGAAGTGAAACCTACCAAGAGACAATGTTTTAAATAAGTATAAATAACATTAATTAGAACTGGAGGAATGCAAGATCAATGAAATTCACCAGAACACAATTAACATTTGTTTAAACAGTGTAGCAGTATTATTAATTTCTACAGCTAGATCGTCACAATCCTGTTACCCTGCAAAGAGAGCTGTCCTTTCTTACAGTTGATTTAAATAATTTTGACTGTGCTGCTCGCAGCATCATTCAAAAAAAGAAAATATTAATTTACAAAATAACCCATTCTCCATATTTATTATGACAAATAAAAATCTTAAATAAAACAGGCTTTCTCTCCCCTCTTTCCCCCCAACCCATCCCTCATTCCAATTTCAGGTAGCTTGGCACTGAGTAATTAAACATTAAAAAATCAAGTTTGTAGACTTCATACAGCTGCGTTTGGTGCAAGGAGCTGATGTTCTGGAAGAACTCTGTGGTCATTTCATCAGTAGTTCTCGTAGACTTTGCATAGGTGGGGAATTTCAGGTAGTTGCCTACTCCCGCCAGCTGGAGAATGTAATTCGAATCCTCTTCGAGTGTTTCGTACTTTCCTATGAGGTCGTAGTGGATGTGGCAAGGGTGGCAGAGGGAGTACACAGTCTGCCAGTGCTCGTTGAAGGGCTCTTCTCTTTGGGTGTGTGGGTCGATGAGATACGCCACGAACTCTTCGAATTTCACGTCATCACCTTTCCGCAGAGCTTCCTGGGTTGCGTTTTTCCTCTGGCGCCTCACGATTTTGGTGCCGTATCGCTTGTGGAAGGAAGTGTTGTACTTCTGGGTGAACTTGTTCCTGTAGGCTGACACCAGTCTTTCAAAAGGCTCACGAACAAAGAGGAACTTCATGTAGTTTTTCAAGCGGTGGTTGATCTCTGGGATGCTGTACTGGTTGAGGGTCTTCAGGTTTGAAGACACGTGGGCTTCGTTGGCCGGGATTTCCATCGGATCGCTGTACTTGCCTCTTCCCGTCAAAACCATCATGACTCTCTTCCAGTTTGTGCAGGCCACTTTGGGAACATAGCAATAGATCATTTCATGATCTTCATCCACGACCAGATGCTTGAGATCGTTGGGTGTCAGCACACGGCGCTTCCTGCTGGACACGCTGTTTGCTCGGCACGTGTCTGTCACTTGGTCTCGCCTGATCTGATGAAGAATTGCTGTGTTGGACAACTGCAAAGGAAGCACAGGCACCAGTAGGTCAAGGGCTGGGAAACTCAATGCCTTTTTTGCTTATTATACAAATTCACAGAGAAGCAGATCTTTCCTTGCATGGATTAATTCATTGTGTGGCTGACTACAACTGATACTATTCTAGAAGATGAGCTGCTTTTGTCACCAGACTTCTTGATACACACTGATTAAATGCTGTTCACACAGCATCCAGAGCTTTGCTTTGAAGACAACATGAAGGAGCACAAGTGCTCACACAGCATGGTGGCAAGTGTATTTACAGAACCCTCATCCTGAGATGTGCTTTTCTTAGGCCTGGAAAACAAATCTCACCTTCACTCTGCAATCCAACCCACTGCTACAGCAGTGTTGGACCTTTTGCTGCCGTGATGGGACAGGAAGATACTGGAAAAATTGACAAAATGTAAACTGTGTGTGTTCTTGTTGCTGTTGTCTTTTAGGTTAGAAAATTTAATAGTCATGGCTTGTTGCTTGGCTATGGCCTTGAATATGGCTTTTACAGCTATGGCCAGAATAAATGAAGCCCATGGATATTCCTGCTACTCTCCAAGAGGAAAATTCATTCAGATATGATGACCATGCCAGTGCAGGGCTCCTGTGTTTGGTTATTCAGAAGTGTCACTGCATGGCACAGGGTTTTGCTGTGCAGCCCTATCCTCACTGCTACAAATACCTTATTACTTATTGAGAATAAACTGCATCAAAGCAACAGTGGGAAGATTTTAGTAATGTTATTTACATTTATTTAAAACTATTTACCTGTGAATTTCAAAAAGCCTTATGCTCAATAATTAATTCAGACTCAAAGATGAGAATTAAGGCACGTATTGACCTTCGTATTTGATAGGTAAGGAGGTCTAAGATTCCTTCTTGTATGCTGAGTCTTTAAGTATTTATCTTGTACCTTCCTGTTGAATTAACATGAATCACAGGACACTGAAAAGAAGTATTTGAGGCAATGTAGGCTCTGTACACTTGCTGTGTGTGTTCCTTTGGTTACAGAGGCCAGTAACCAGACAAGACCAGTACATGCCAGGCAAAACCCTTTGTCCTTGGCAAATAGTTTTGCACCAGCTTGGGAGGTCATACTGAACCTCCAGTTCCTGCAGTCATGGGTCAAATCTCTGCTTTCAATAGCAGTACTTAGCCATGATTCATATTTAAAACACCCGTCAAAACTCAAATAAAAGAATCCAAATGAACTTTAGAGTTAAAACCCAAATGAAACTCCAAAATGGGACCAAGCCAGTTGTAGGATTTCTGAGCTTTGGAGAGAAAGGAAATAGAAATTGCATTGTTGCAGACAAGCACTAAGAGCCCAAGTTTCACTCACCCAAGGGGCAGCAAAAGCTTCTGCACCACATGAACAAGAGACTTTCCCTCTCTCTGGACTGTGGTGGGTTGCAGAGAAATGTTTTCAAAGGATGAGCAACACCAAGGGGCTGGTGCAGCTCTGAGCAGGAGGACTTTTTCTTAAGAGAGTGTGTACGTGCCAAGCGTGGGACCTCTGTATTTTGCACAGTGCCACCCACCACTTATCCTCTGAATCCCCTGATACTTTCCTCAGCTCTTTTGCCCCTCTATTCAGTAAAATGCTGGCTAGTGGTTAAAATGTGCAGTAGCCCAGAGCAGCTCTTTCAGACGGCTTGTCTTGTCTTTTGTGTGTGTGTGGTATCCCCCTGGATACCTCCCAGGTGCACTTCAAGGAGAGTTTTATGTTAAAGAGATGAGAAGTCAGATGTGAAATGTGCTTCGTGCTTCCTAGGAAAACTGACTGGCAGGAAGTTTCCATATTAGATGTTAGAAAGTAGTTGTCGGGGGCCACACAGATTTTTCAAGAAAATTACTTTTTCTGTAAGAAAATAAAAAATCTGTATTTCAATTTCTGATATCCTCAGAGCACAACAGAAGTAATGGATCTCAACCAGCTCTATACTGGCTAGTTACCAGTCAATAATTTCCAAAGAACTAAACAAAACCCTATGCAAACACACAGACATACAAATTCTCCTTTGCAGATAAAAAGCTGAAATCTCTCCTCCTGCAGATTTTCATCAAAAAACAAATAGCATAGGAATGTTGTTTGCCCCAGGTTTTAGAGTAAAAAAAGACAAAAGAAATGCCTGAATATATTGCTACATTATAATATGTTAATGCACTGTATTTCGATTTTCTGGGGCTGTTCTTAGGATAAATACAGAATTAAGTGGATGAGATTCTATGGTCTGTATTAGATAGAAGGTTAGATTTGATAATCTAATGGTTGCTTCAGACCCTAATCTGCAGATGAATCTTTGTAGAGCTGTGCTTTGCTCCTGATTTCTGTCCTCCATCAACAGGCTAAGCACTTTTCCCCCATCCATTAACATTAATGAGATTTTCAGACATTTAGAGTAAGGGGTAAAATGCAGCCTTAGTATTTGCAATTACCAATGAGCTTGTACTACATTAAATTCATTTAGAAGATTACACTTGCACATTTTCAAGTGGTACTTTCACTCTTTTTAACATGGAAAAAAATATGAAGAAATAGCATAAATCTACATTTACTAAGTATACAGCAACACCCTAGGGTGAGCTGTACATGTGCTCTGGCCTGCCTGGCGGCACACAGAATGCATATTAAATAGCAATGCAACAGCAAAAGGGGATTGTCTAGTTCTCATCAATGGCAACACCCTTTGGTATGGCTGATGGATGAAGGGCCACGCAGGAAACAGAAAGCTTGACTTCCTTTTTATTCTATCCAATGACTTCAGTTTACTAAAACAAACAAAAAAAAAAAAAGACAAAGGCCAATCTAGTGACTGTCTTAGAACAATGCCAGGTGTATCAAAGCCCATTTCTTCTGCAGCTGACTAACACACCTGATGTACTCTGGAAGAGCTGACCTACCTGTTTCCTCCAGAGACACAAAGAGTCCTGCTGGCTCTCCTCGAGGTTTGATGGGAACAGCCCTCTTGCTGAAGCAGTGGCTGATAGGAAAGCCACACTGACCCTGCTCAAGTGAAAGGTCAGGTAAGGCATCTGACAGCCTTTTATGGAATCCTGAAAGAACCACCAAACTCTCCTTTGCACACAGGACATGCTCTGTGGCCCCTAGAGTCTACAGCACCATGGAAGGTAATCATAAGAGCATTTTCAATTTAGTATTTTTGAAACTATACATTAACAGTGAGTTAGCTGATGGCAATATGGTTCCTTTTCATTTAAAGTTACAGGCAAGGCTTTTAGGCCACATAACAATTTCATCCTGAAGCTGGTGAGGGGAGCTTGGGAAACAGTAAATTTAAATGAGACTGGAAATACATTTGTTTAAACTAGAGGTCCACTTGGCCAGGGAAAAAGTGCAAATGTGCTCACAGCTAATGAGGAAAATGTATCCCACAAATTTAAGCAGCCAGAGAGAAGATCCAAAGAATGATGGTGAAGGACAAGACAGAAAATTAAAGTCATGGACTGTCCTCCTCCAAAGCTGTAACACATGTGGCTACAGCAGAGTCATGAGTGTGCAGCTGCCTGGACACTGATGGCTGTGCCTGTGCTCAGTACCAGAGGTCCCTGCTGACCCCTCAGTTCTAGAAACCACAATAAGTAATGGCCTAAATCCAGTTTGGGAGAGGACACTTTTAAATGTGTGTGCAGATTACCCTGAGAGCAGTGTGGGGATGGTGATAATGTCAGTGCTCAGGTGTGTCCTCTGACAGCTCACCTTGGACTTCATCAGGGCATTAAAGGTTTTGGGAAGACATCTGATAAAAGCAGCTGTTCCTCCCTGAGAGAACTGACACCAGAGATGCACTTAATCATGTTTTTGTTTTCCTGCAGAAGTAGTAAAGGGACAGAGAAGAAGGGCATGTCAAGATCAAAGCTTTCCTTCCTTTTCTGATGCAGCAACCAAGTTGAACAGTGAAGCGACATGAGCAGCGGGAGACTTCTAAGCTCAGTGGCATTAAAAGAAGGAAAAGAAAAAAGTAGGCTGGGGACACTCTGATCCCAGAAGCTTCTCATCTCCATCAGTCCCAAAGTAACAACAAGGGAGGAAAGTCCAGCACACTCTGCCCATGTGGATGTCCTGTTCACTGGAAGGTGGTGGGGTGTGTGTGCAGCAGGGCCAGGAGGCCTTATTTTTTTGTGGAGAGCACTAGAGAATATACTGACCAGAAATGCATATGCTGACCAACTGGCAGTCATCAACTCATTACAGGCAAAGGTTATTCAAGGTAAACCAGAGTAATGAGATGGGAGGTATTTCCTTCTGGTTACTTAGGCACAGCAGGATAAAGTAATCTTTGCAGACCTTTCCAAGCTTGACGGCCAAGCAGCAAGTATGGATTCAAACACAGGAATTTTTTTCCCCCTGAATATAGTAGTGTACTGAAAACCAGGTGCAAAGATTAATTCAGTTCACAGGTATCTGCACTACAAGCTGTTTTTTAATACAAGGATGGAAATACTGAAGTGTCACTGAAAAAGTCCATTAATTAAATTCTGTCTCACTATAAAAAATATGGTGGAAAACAGTACCCTCCACATTTACCAGGCAGGGTTTTGTTTACTTCTATTGCATTGCCTGCAGCTAGCTCTTTACTACTGTAACCAGGCTCACAACCAGCCTATGCTGGGACTGCTAGCATGACATTTGATCATGGCAGACTGAAGGGCAAAATTATCCAAATTAGTTTATCATGGAATAAAGAGGATAAATATTGTCAATGGCGTTTGCAGGCCCAATCCTTGATAAATTGGTTTTTCTCTTCAATTTTGCCTTAGCAAAGACTTTGCATCTGCCTTTAATTCTTCAGTTACCTTCATGTTTGGAGGTTTGGTTTGTGTCCTATGCTAGAACTGTGCAAGTTGCTGCAGAGTTCCCCTCCTCTGTGGTCCATCAATTAAAAACCAGCTGACACCGAGCTGGGTCTATCCAGCACTGTTGAAACCAGAGCTCCTCTCCACCAGATTCTTCTTCGCAGTATTTG